TCTCTTCTTTAGGGTTCCTATATGGTCATATCCCAAAGGAAAAGTGAGAGTTTGTACCTAATGGTTTTTGTGTTTCTTGTCCACTATGAGTAGGATATTAGAATGTCTGTAAAAGTGTGTGTTTACAGTGTGACAATTCTTTTAACTTGGTTTCATAGATATGCTTAAATAGTTGAGAAATTATCATTGGATTCTCAAAGATTAGTGACAGACTTCTGTTGTCAAAGATGCACCAATATCAAGAAGACGTGTTATGTGAAGTCCAAATGAAAAGTTTTGGGTTAGTGCATTTCAACTGTTTATCATGTTTCTGAAGGTGCCTATGAGTATGAGCTATATAATATATATATATATATAAAAGTGGCGGAAGCATCTATGGTTCATCCAATGATCACTTTTCGTCTTACTTATCTAAATGTATTGGTTCACTTCTAATTGGAGGACATATATTATTGAGTCTATTTCTTTCATGTAGTCTGTTATTTTTTTTAGCAGTGATTTTAATTTTGGTATTACATCATATTAATGTTTCTAGACAGCTTGCATATTTAAATTGAATTCTTTTAGTGGGTTAATGTGCTCTCTTTTTCTTCAGCAGCTTGTGGCTTTTACATAGTACTACGTGTATTGAGTTTTTGTTATTCATAAGCATCTTAACATTTACTTTAAGACATTTTAGTATGGAGAAGTAGAGCAATTAGGATAATGTGATCACAACAAGTAGAGGATTATTTGCCAAATCTAATACACCACACATAAGGTGCATGAATATAAATGCAGAGTAAGGGGACATTTGCTTCTAAGGTGTTGATTTTAGACAAATGTGCAAAACTTAATTTAGAATCTAGTTGCAATGGCAATAGAATTCAGACATTGGCAAAATGCTGCGTAGGTATCATCTTTGTTGCAACTGCTGCCCCTGAAGTTCTACATTCTATAAGAGGCTCACTTTGTAGGTTCATCATTGAATTTTTCATTTTTTTATACATTGGTTTTGTGGAATTGGGTCATTGTCTATGAACTCTCCTTTGATCATTCTCTACTCATTTATAATATGACATCTTCATTCTTTAAAAATTAATTGAAATTATGTATCTGATCTGTTGCTGGATGAATATATACAAAGAGGTGTTTGGCAAGGATTCACCACTAGGTGTGGTGTTGTGAACAAAAATGCCCAAGTGGTTCGTCCTTAATCCACATGTTGAGATTTCCTACACTAGAATGGGTGACAAACAATTGCATACGACTTCAGGAACATAAGACATTATGCACTCCTTTCCCCTTTCACATTGTTTCACTGTTGCGAGGCTTGTTCCCTTGGTTTATTTTTTGTTGAAACTATGATTTAGAGGTCGGAGATTCGTGTTCTCAAAGAGACGATGTGTGTGAGATTCGAGTTTATGATATACAGAATTTTAAATTCAAAATCGTTCACGTGCAACACACGTGTGCATAAACTAGTTATAAAAAGATTTAATCAGGATTTAGTGGAAAGAATTAATGAGATCTTTGGATCCAGAAGAACAAAGAAAAGCTACAGGCTGAACAATTAAACTTACTATCAGCTTAATGCTCATTTCAACAATCACAATGAATCATACTTCGTTTGGGGTTGATTTGTTAAAGATTTACAGAATTTCACCACTTCGGAAATGTAACAAATTAAACTTTTAAGTAGATAAAACTTCTTCATAATCGCATTAGGAAAGTATGTATTTTGCAAAGCCAATCAGCAGCAAATGATATTCATACCTTCTCATGGTGTTTCTTTGAATGTTCAGCACCAGAATCATGATGACCACTTTTATCTTTCTTTTTCTCCTTGTCTTTACTTCGATCTTTATGACGATGCTTGTGCTTCTTATGCTCTTTATCCTTTTCTTTGTCTTTGTCCTTGTGCTTTTTATGCTTCTTCTCCTTGTACTTAGAGTCGCTTTTAGATTTTCCAGCTATAGTGGGAATACCCTTCTCTGACTATCAAACACCATAAGATATAAAGAGATCAATACTACTTCCACACCTCCCAGGAAGTAACATAAATACAAAAATCTTCGTTGACAATTGAGGTTTTCTTTTTCTTTTCTTTTCTTTTCTTTTACAGGCAATTGGGTGTGGGGTGGAGGGGACCCTGTTGAGTTGATTTTGAAAATCTAAGACACACAAAGGGGCCATCATCCAGCAATAAAATAAATGGAAGCCTCAGCAGCAAATTTCTTACAGGGGACAAATCAACTGTAGTCGTTTCCCTCAGTTGAAAGGCTTCTCTGAGGACATCTAAGTCAAAAGGTTGTATGCGAGCATTTGTCTCTCTCGAAGGGGTGTATTCTGAATGAGCTGATCCAGTTGCATCCCTTCACCTTTCCTAATTTCTGTATCTCCAACCACATTGTGAAGGTAGTGTGTATCTGAAATTGATAATGGAAGTGATCTCTTGCAGAAGAAATCGTGGTGAGGCAACAACTTGTAGTGATTTATAAGATCCACAGCACCCGTAAGTTCTCTTGGCCCTGATTTCCAAATAAGACCCAGTAAATCACAGTTATGACTGAAACAAATTGATAAACACGATAGTCAGAAAACAATCACTCAACTTATGCAAAGCATGGCTCATGTTTCAAAATCTTGACCAATGCATCTAATGGCCTTAGTTGTTGTGACCAATTAAAAGGACTTTTTCCAAGTAGCATGCCATTGTTAAGAAAATGAAGATGAGGGAAAAAAGAAACAATTACAACATGTAACCTTGAGAGCTTCCCAAGAAGTTAAGGTTCACCACTACATATGCGATGCAATCCACCGCTTTCTTAACAGGGATTACCAAATTACCTAAGAAAGCCCAAGTCTTTGCATATAATCAGCAAAATGAATCCCTCTCACCATTCAGTGCCATCTTAAGAGGTCAACTCATGTTTTTCTGAGTACTTGTCCTTATAGCACCTTCACCAGGTGAAACTCCTTATAGCACCTTCAACTAACTCCCATCTCCAAGAAGACATAAAATCCAACATATGTACTAACCCAGACAATTATTTCTTCGCCATTCAACTCTTACCCACCACCTCAACCCTGTTTCTGATCTCCCACTTGACCTTGTAACTTGTAACACATTCAACTGGAATTATAATGAGTCCTCTGCATGAGTTCTCCGAAACTTAGATGGGTCGGGTATTCATCCACATCCCCTTAGTATTTACAAAAAAGACAATGCTGGTCACAAATCAATTTCATCTTGAACAGCTCCATTATAGAAGTTCATTCTCATGCCAATTAGTCGGTAGGCACACCAAAGTTAAATCTCATGATCTTACGCGACTTTTAAGTGTTGGAGATAGTTACAACATAATTCCAGCTAGGGGAGTATAAATAATCAAAAGTGCATCAAAAAATTGAAAATGATTATTATCAATAGATGAATGTAGAAGTTCTACAAGCTACAATACCGGCCAGCCTAACTTTCCATGAGGATGGGACGAAGGAAAGGGCGATATAGGCTTTAGTTAAGAGAAACAAAAAGCACCGAAGTCCAAACAAAATGACATAGTGATGGAGATGGTGTAAGAATTGGATAGATATTATAGATTAGTTATGAGAGTTATTTAGATACTTTTAATAAATTAACTAATTTCTTTTAACTTTTGAGGATTTATTTATCATTATTTATTTGTTTTAGGGTTTTCGTTTGGATGCATGTAAGAGTTTTATGGAGGAGTTAACTTATTGAATATTATTGAAGCTTGTTTGGCTTAGATCTCCTTGTTCTCTTTCTCATCCCCTTAATTATATTCTTCACTTCTCATCTCCTTTTACTCTTCTAATTTTTCATTATCTTCTTCTTATTTTGTCATTCCAAATTCTTTTCCTTCTTAATCTACATCAATTTGGCACCAGAGCCTAATCTCAATCCAACATCACCGCTGACATAGAAGCCCATCAGTCATCCTTAATTAGTCGTACTGTTGCTTCTGTTCAACATCGCCATTTAACATAGACCCAGTTGCTGCCTTCTGTTCAACATTGCCATTTAACATAGACCCAGTTGCTGTCATTGCAAGAAAATCACAGCCCGTCATTAAAAGTCGCTGCCCTGTTCTTATAGTTGGAAACGAACCAGCCTGCTCGTGAAGAAGAAAATTCGTCGTTGCCATCTTTCAGTCTTGCTGGAGCTCGTCGTTGCTGCTGGCTACTTGAAGCTACAGGCCAACGGCACACCAGCTTTGAAGAAGACAACTAATAGGGTTTTTTTTTTTTTTTTTTTTAAAAATGATCCAGCCTTTAACCCAGTCCCAAAGTCCCAGGTAACATTGCCTAGCCCAAACAATAACAGCCTACAATCTAAACCACTTGTCCAAGACTCAGACTCAGACTCAGTCAAACCCAATCCAAGGCTAGCCCCATCCATTTAAAAAAAAAAAATTCTTGACCCCACCTTTTAAACAAAGTTAAGGCGGCCTAATTTCATTAAAATCAGCCGAACTGTATAACCTAACGACCCAACCCACACATTACAGCTCCGCCCCCATATATTCCTGAAATAGCAGATCTCTCCCAGAGTTCAAAAATTACATTTCTGCCCCCAAACTTTCGAAATTACATAATCATTCCCCAAAACTTTTAGTAATTGTAAAAAAATCTCCAAAAGTTCCGAAAATTGCAGAAACATCACCAGAAGTTTCAGAACAAGTTTCAGAATTTCATCACAACAAAACTTGATTATGATATGCATACTCCCATAGAATTTGAAACTAATATTTTTATTCATTAAAAAATTAGAGAATTTGCAAAGGGTTCAAAGCACATTTTCTTCCATTTAAACTTTCTCACTTCTTGAAATTGTCAATTACATTATTGAACTTGTTCTTCTACCATCTTATATTTCAAAAGTCAATCAGGAGTTTATATAATCCTTATGATACCTATTAATATGCTTACCCAGTATCAAGCATGTCTCAAGGTCACAATTTTTCACAACGTCACCACTATACCTATTTCACTCCTAGAGTCTCTTGGGATCGCCATAAAGTTCATAGCAAGTCTGAGTTTTGTAATGAAGATTATCTAGAATACTACTCTGGAACACTTAGATCACATAAAAGTTACCAACGGCATGCTTCCCAAAGTCATCATCAAGTTCAATTTGAATCTATTCCTAATGTCATTAGTTACCATTCGAAAGCCCAAGCTGTCCTAGAGAAAAAGGTTGAGACCTTTGAAATTAAAGTGGCCAATAACAAAAATTCACTTAGGCAATTACGTGAGGGGTGTAGAAGGATGAAAACCCAATTATCTGATTTTACAACTCAACTTTTGCACTTGTCTAAAATTCTTGCAAATCAGCAAATGGAAGAAAATAAGTACAAGTCACTAGTTTCACCTAATGTCAAACATGCACATAATGATAGCTATATTTCTGTTCCGTTGAACCCTCATACTTTCCATCATTCAAAACATACTTTTAATCATTTGAACATTGATACTACTTATGAGATTATTTTTTATCCTATCATGTTTCCTATGGAGACAAAAGTTAAATCATCACCAATAATTGAACTTGAGAGTGTTGATTTTGTTTCGGCGTCTTCTCCACCTGAGATTATTGGCAATGTTCTGGATTCTGCCCCACTTAAGATTGTTGACTTTATTCCTCTGCCTACTATCAAGTGTTCAGTTGAGTCTGTACTTTTCAGCATCAGGGTGTTAATTGATGTCTTGTCCCACTGAATGTTTGTTGTACAAATCTGATGGGATTGTTTTGTTATTCTTGAATTTAAATTTTTCATTAAATGTTAGTATTAGTCCAGATATTTATTTGGAGGACATGCTACTTAATGGAGGTACTCCAGAGCCTCCTAATTTTGTTAGCCAGTGTTTTTGCTGGTGAAATTGTTTCTTATACTTAGCACTAACTTTATTTCTTATCTTTCCACTTTCATCGCTTATTTTAGGCTAAATAGATGATATGCTACGTGACCAAATTTACATTGCTACAGATAGAGATTCTTACATTTATCCTGATCGATGGAAAGATGTTGATAGTTCTTTTATTTTAGATGAGGCATTCTATCATCTTCATCCTACTCTCTTAGGGTACTTCTGCTTTGAAAGCTCTCCAAATGAGAGTTTTTCTCAATCGGAAAAAAATGATAGAGACCATGTAGGAATTAAATAGATATTATAGATTAGTTATAAGAGTTATCTAGATACTTTTAATATTTATCTGTTAAATAATTTCTTTTAACTTTTAAGAATTTAGTTGCTATTATTTATTTGTTTTAGGATTTTAGTTTCCCTATATACATGTAAGGGTTTTACGAAGGAGTTGACTTATTGAATATTATTGAAGCCTGTTTGGCTTAAATCTCCTTGTTCCCCTTCTCATCCCCTTTCTTCTCTTTCTTCTATTTCTCATCCCCTTAATTCTATTTTTCACTTCTCATCTCCTTTTATTCTTCTAATTTCTCATTCCCTTCTTCTTCTCTTCTCATATCCCTAATTCTTTCATTTCTTAATCTACATCACATAATTTCCAACATCCATACATGATACAAAAAGACAATGAGAATAAATTTAACATACAACATAGAAAACTAGTATTTAAAAGGTCTTACCTCGTCCGAACTTCTTGCTTTCAGGATCCATCAATCAGTGTCTCATACAAGGTAGACCATTATCATCTAGGGACAAAAGAAGGGAGGAGTAACTACCACATCATTTATGTTCAAAATAATCCAACTATGCCTACTTGTAACTTGCATACAATTCCAAATATAAAAGTATTTGACAAGAATGTAAATGCCAACCTCATAACATTGTTATAGAGCAAAATCAAGTAGCACCAAGAATTCTTGCCTATATGTGCATGTGTGTGTGTGAGAGAGAAATAGGGAGTGAAAAAGATAGCATGAGTCTCAAGTATCAAATTAACCCAAGCAAAAATCCAAAAATGAAAAAAAAAAAAAAAAAAGACATAAGCTAACACGGATTACAAAACCACAACATCATGGACTTTACTATACAATTTTGGCGGCCAAAATCGATGTGCTAATATAATTTCATACTACTAATATGCAAAACTTGCTGACGCGTGATTTACAAAACTTTTCCCATTTTGGTACAGAACTTTAATCATGTAACTGATGAACAGAGTGGGGGATGACATTGACCGCAACAACCTGCCTCAGATTCTGTATGAAGACGAAGACCATGACAAGGTTGTGCTTGCATCAGATGGTGATCTTGCAGCAGCTGTGGACCATGCAAGGTCAGTTGGTTGGAAGGGGTTAAAACTGCATTTGGATTACTCGGGAACACCTAGCTGTAGAAGGGGTTCTGGATCTGGAGGTTTGGATTATGCTCAGAAAGATGCATGGGCTTTCTGGTTGCTGGGCTAGGTGTATTAGCATTCTTGAGGCGAGCTGGTAATTGATTGTGTTTTAAAATTCCAAATTTATATAAATTGATTTTTACGGAGCAGCAGAAATGAGTTTCTCTGGAACTAGGGACTAGCAGGCAAAATTTGATTTCTTTGGAAGCATGAGTATGCTCAATGTGTGGCTTGTAGAATGTAGAATATAATGCAAAAATGAAGCTATTTTTTTGTGCCTGCTAAAAAAAAATGTAAATGATGAACAGTGTAGACAACAGGCATCTTCCCAAAACCTTCCAATTTCACTGCACATACTACTGAAGTTTGCAATCACAGCTTATTTGTTAAATTGAGAACTGGAACAACAGAAAACATATTGGGCAGAACCATGCAATGATCTTTCTAGGAATATTTTGTTGCAGAGAATTATCAGCATTATTGAAACCCTACTCTCCAAGAAATGTGATATCCAGACACTATTTAAATGATATGGCATCATATTTCTGCATTAAGGAGTCATACAGACGTCTTCCAATGGTTATAACTGTTGGTGAAAATTAACTTGTTAGCCTCCCAGATCTAGTTCTGATTGATTTTGGTATAAAGTTTGTGCCAACTCAACTCATTTATCCTAACTATTTCAGGGGTAAAGATTGCGTAAGTAACAATTTACTTATGCAGTCTACTTCATTATACTTCATTTTAGTGGCCGCAAAAGTTTACGACCCAATGGCGCAATACAAACAAATAGTCAAAATAAAAAGTAAAGAAACAGAACCTTGTATCAAACAACAAACAGGATGTAGAGATGTACAAGTGAGATAAAAAAATACCACACAAACAAACAGAAAAAGCAAATAAACTGTAATCTTCTAAGCATGTATAACCAAAATCTTAGATTACAACCCAAAAATTATTTTGGTCAATGTTGCAATAGTTCAATCTTTAGTATGGAGGAGATGGTAAAACAAAGTTTAACGGATGGAGGAAATTGTGTTTATATTTACTATGGAAGTTAATGTTGATGAAGTATCAGACACTATATTAAAATAGGCCCCAGGAGAGAACTTGTGCAAGCATATTGTGCAGCGACGTAGGGAATCAGCATACTACAAGCGGCTAGGAAGCACGGATACTTCCTGGAGGGGCGTCGTGGTAGTGTCGGGCCATATACGTGTCGAACACGGCTAGAAGTGTCATGAATTTTGAATCGACCCGGCCAAGATACGAGACGAAATTTTTTTTTATAAAAAAAAAACATCTGTTAACTATTAAAAGAGATGTTATTTCTAATTTTTTTAATAAAACTTTTATTATGTAACTTATATACTATGAATATCAATGGATGTAATGATTGTTGATGAAAATAATAGATATTTATTTTGATCTATTTCAATTTTAATTAAAAATATACTATTTACTAAGTCTTATAATTAATATTGTTATAATATGTTTTATTTTTAATATATTACAACTCTATTATTATTTAATAGTCGCATCCTCATCGGACCCATGTTTTATATTTTTTAACTTTGTCTTATCCTCATATCCGTATCTTATCCGATATGACACCCATGTCTGAATCGTAGAGTTGTCAGTTTCCAATTCTTGGAACCCTAATATGAGTTTTCTGCTAGACATTATTTAACTTCCCCTACTGTAAAGTAGAACTTCGATACAATAATGTAGACAAAGAAAGCCCCAGTTGTAATTACAAGTGAAGCCTATATATCGTGCAAAATTCAGTTTCTTGTTAGTCACCTTTCCTATTACAATCCCTTGTTTGAAGGATCCTGAATCAAAGGATACAATACCTAACTCGATGTATTACAAAGATTCAAACAGTTTCATTTATCTTCCTCTACTCCTTTTCTCTCGGCAACCAAACAGAACTTGATCTCACCCATGACAAAAATTAAGCCCTTTCAATTGCACCACACAAGAATTCAGGGGATGAATAAAATGTATACAGAGAAAGTCAAGTTTAATTCAAAGATTAAATCTTGTGACATGTCAGTGGGACGTAGAGCTTACCTGATCTGACTGAGAGATCCACACCGTAAATTCGCCTCCGCGAAGTATGGGATTTCGAATCTTTTCTCTTGATGGTTCGTACACAGGAACGAATCGACTACAGATTAGGGCTAATCTCAAGTATTCCGTAGAGGCTTCGTCGTCGTCTCCTTCTCCCCCCACAAAATAAACCCTAATGCCTGTTCAGAGTTGAAACTACGGTCAAAAGTCACGACTCAGAGAGGAAACCGGCCTTTCTGATTATGTTGGAGCCTTCGGGGCATCTGTTAATTATATAGGGGGAATAACACTTTGTACCCTCAAATCATTTTAAAATTTAATTTGTACCATAAAAATAAAAATATTTTTAGTGTTACCCTCAATCATATGACAAGGTAGCAGTGTGGTTGAAAATCAGACACATGTTGTTTTGTTCGACGATTTTTTCTTTCATAATTTTCTATTTTTGTGCACAATTATACTCGAGATAACTTGTGCACGAAGGTACGATACAATATAAATAATTTTGAGAAGGATAGTACTGATCATTGGATAAATCTATTTAAAATTGTTGGATGTGTTTATTGAAATTTACCTTGTTTTATATTATAGACTATCAATAATCCGTATCTGAAAACATAGTGTGCCATAAAATTTGAGAGTCTAAAAACTCGATTTTACTATATCAAATAGTAATTTTTTTCTTTTTTTAATTACATAATTTAAAATTTATTTTGACCCACTATTTTTTAAATCAAAATTCCACAAAAATTTTTCAAAATATATGACATCAAAAAAAATAACAACATGTGTACACTATTGTATATGAACGATGTTTGAAATAAAAAAAAATATATTGAACCACAAATTAATCAAAAAACTACATAATTAAAGAAATTGACAGAAAAAATATGTGTGGATAAAATTTAAATGCTTAGCTCACTTATTATATGTATTACTCAATTTTAAATATTTAACATGAGATTTCTATACCCAATTTTATTAAAACATATCACATTATTCTCTTTTTATTATTGTAATCACCACCTTTGTGCACCACCTTTGTGACTTTGTGGGTAAAATCAACATCTCGACTAGCATTAAAACAGAAATTTGGGGTTTACACAAAGGATTGGAGATGCTAAACAAGACAGGGATTGAGAGGGTCATTGTAGAATCTGTCTCAGAGGAGGCCTGTCGCCACCTTCTCTCTCAAGATGATGAAAATCCTTAGAGAGTTCTGATGGACAATGACAGAGATCTGATGAATAGCCAAGGAATGGTGATGGTAGCCAGAGTAACCCAGTATCAGGAATTTGACCCTTTGATAGCTGAAGCTTTGACACAGTCACAGATGCCAGCAATCTGGGCACATCAAAGAAACTGGAACTATGCGACAATAGAGAGTGACTCTCAAACTGTGGTACATGTAGCAACTTTAGGCCATCTTACACCTCACTAGTGCATACTGCCAATTCAACAGGACCCACAAATTTAATGGTTCATATTAAGGTGGTGCACAAAGGTGGTGTTTGTAGTATTATTTAATCATAAAATAAAAAAGTCAATTCAATCTATGATTTCCGTCATTCTGAAAACTGAAGAGGATTAAATATATATGCTTAACTTTATCCCTAGTTACCGATAATGTATTACGGTGGTTCAAACGCATGATAAATAATTTAAAATTAAATAATCCAAAAGATAAACGACTTGTCAATTTAAACACAAAATAGTTTTGTCTCCGCGTTGATGAAATTTCAACACCAACAACAGAAAACAAATTCTGCAGTCACTTTATTTATTGCTCAGGATGGGAGATAATTTATTAACTAGACAATTATAAGATCTCAACATAAACAATGGCAATAATGATTGGGGGGAGCATGGTTGAATGCCTTGCAGTGGCCTCCCTTGGAGCAATTAGCATGGCACATTTCATCGCATTTACCATCATCGGTCCCTGGAACACAATTGCCAATGTGGTTGTCATAGCAGCACTTCACACTGTCTTCACCACTCGCTTCCTTCAAATCTGGAAAAAAAAAAAACAAAAAACAATGCAAAATTATAAGAACACTACTCTAGGCTTCAAGAGTTATATGGTCTAATTAAGGATTAAAATTTTATTTCGATGCATAGTTTAGATGAGCTTGAAAATGGAAATGTTTCGCTAATGTTTAATAAACAAGATGGAAACAAAGAATAAGTTGAAATTTTATTTCTGAAACATCGGTCGAAACATTCCAAAACATACATTGAAACATACTGAAACACCTCGAAACATAAGAATTTTAATATTCAATTAATAATTCGTTTTGGTCTCTATAAAAACAGAAACATTTCAAACGTTTTGACCGTTTCAAAAACATCATTATTGTAAGCAAAAGAACCACCCAATGGTGATATTCGCAGGTACAAACACTCAAACAAAAGCAAAAAGAGTGTTAGTTTTCTATATGGGATTGACTTGGGTAATGAAAGAGGTATGACACTTAAGTTTACCCTATTTTTTGGGTTGACTCATAACAAACAATTTTTAAATCTATCCTTTAAAAAAATATAACTTTTAGTGAAGTTACAATATTTTTGGTAATTTAGGTAGATCCTAACAATTTTATGATCAATATTAAATGTTGGAATCAATTCTAAAACATTGGGATTCATCCAAACACCCTAAAAAATCGTATCTTGATCCAAAAAAGAGTCTATAACTTAAACCTAAAAATAAGTATTTTATGGTATGGTGTATCGACAAAATATTTTTTCCGGCATCATAAACTTATCGCTTCTTATATGTAGAATTTTGTCCAAATCAAATCACTTCCTAGACGACGAGAACTTCTTTTAGGAAGTCCAAAAACTACTGAAAATTGCTGGTTCGGTTTGCAAGCATTGGACTAATGCATGCAGTTCTAACTTATAAACTTTGAATATTTGCAATCACTAATAAAACTCACGAATTGGATAAACAAACATAGTCAAACTCAAGAGTTCTAGTAGGTAGTAACCCTAGAAGCCTGTCCATCCGAATCACACTAACGGGTTTCATCACGAACAACTACTTTGAATTGATGAAAAATAATAAAACAAACAGACTACAAACCCTAGTAAGCCGGGAGGGAGAACTTGAAACTTCGATATATATATTAACTGATAACAAGTCTTCCTATACATCCAACCTACTTTAATGTGCTTCATCTTTTACTAGCTTGAACCGAGGCATCAATGAAAAAAGTACAAACCTGTGCATAGCAGGAGCACCACAATGAGTAATAACGGCATTACACTCAGTTTTGCCATCTCTTTTCCTATGAGAAACTAACGAGGACGTCTATGGGAATGGGATGGTCCATGAGGAATATGTATTAGTATTTATAGAAGTGATCAAGATTTAATTTTGGTATTACCTTAATATGTGGAATCATAATGCCAATATGCCTTCTTAATTTGTATTGGGTTTCTGTAATTTTGCTGTTTTGCAGAATTTTTTTTTTTTTTTTTTTTGGGGAGGGAAAGCCACTACCACTGTGAGAGTGGTTGAATTGAAGTTCTTTTAAAATAGGAAAGAAAATCAACTGACTTGATGAAATAGGAAAGTCATTAACGTTATGAATTAGAAAACGTGGCTCCAAATCTACCTAGATCCCACAACCAATTAAGAATGGCCCGTGGCTGCCCGAGATATTTAGGGGTCCAAAATGGAAACAATGAGTATTTTTAATTTTTAAAAAAATAAAAATATTAATTAAAATTTTATATTCAAGATTTTGTTACCATATTTGAACTTGATGGTGAGAGAGAGAGGGAGAGGGAGAGGGAGAGAAAGAATGATTGAAAAATTATTATGGTAAGTTTGAACTTGAATTGTTTTGGGAGGTTAAAACTTAGATTTTTCTATAACTTTAGTTTTACTGTTAATTTTTTTATTTTTTAAAAATAATTGAATTTTAGGGTTTTTTAATTTCATTCACTAAATTAATAAGTCTAATCTACTCAAGTTAAAATATTTTATTTGGTTTAAATCTAAATCTTTTACTGATGTATCTCTTTAGTATCACTCTTCCATGGTGTAGTTTTACGAAATGAGTGGGGTCAAATGGTACTAGCTGGATCATGCGACTATGGAGCCTGCTCGAATATGGAAGCTGAAATCCTAGCCCTATTGGATGGCCTTCTTCTTGTACAGGATTACGGATTGGTGGTTTACCCTTTAATCATAAAAACAGACTCTCAAGTTCTTGTGGATTTGATCAAGCAACGGTCTAAATTATCTTGGGAATTTTGGGCTCTCTTTCGTAAGATTTTTTCTATTCTCCATAGTCTGGAGTACCGAATTCAGCATTCTTATAGGGAAGGAAATGCAGTTGCAGACTCTGGCCAACAAGGAGGAGTCTGTAACAATGCTTCTCACACTCATACTTTCCCTCTCACTCTCACTCTCAATCTACATATGAGACAACTTTTACAGCGAGATCAGCGAAAAATTAAATCGCTGCAGTCTAAGATTAAAGTTCTCTGATAGATGCTCTGTTTAGATTTTATGATGCAGCATACAAATAAGCAGTTCAGGCTCTATGACATAACAAGGATTCGCAGAAACAGATCAAAGATATGCTACAGAATTAAAGCACATTCATCAAAAACACAAAACAGTCCGTTTATACAAATAAGCTGTCCAGAGTTTACATGCCGATTACTATTCGAATATGTGGTCTACGTTTTCCAGAAACAAAGGGAATATGATGGTCACCTGTTTGTCTTCTCCTCATCCACAGGATCAATGTCAAGGCCTTCGGTATTCTGGGGACAGCATCTCACTTGGTTTTGTCTTCACTGCTTACTTTCTCTTTTCTCCCTCAGAATATTTCTTCCCTTCGTATGTGCAGAGTCTGTGGATTATCTGCTGGCTCCCTCTCGCTGGATATTCATCTTATGCATCGTCAAAACGAAGAGGCATTTTGCTCTGCAGCATTTTATTGAACTCCATGGCTGGATATTCATCTTCTCCGCTGAAGCTTTGTGGTTCTTGGACATCCTTCTCTTGACTATTGTAGTCTTTCAGAGTGTTTTGCAGGTTCCCAGGAGGCTTTTAGTCATACAAAGGGTTATCATCTGTCATGCAGCCGTCTTATCTGTAACCCAGCCGCCTTATCAATTGGATCTCCTAGGTGCAGCTGGCTTATCTCTAATAGCTTATCGAATCCTAATAAGGCCATTCAGTTGCCTTATTCGATAAGCCCCTCCACTTCTCATGGCCCAGCCCCTAAGACCCCCCAGCTTAAGACAACTAATATTTGCAGTTCATCAGCTGCTTTTCCCGGTTGGTCTCATCTCTCAGCTAATGGTCGCAGCTCCTTTAAAGCAATGTATCCAGCTTAGGACAGCTGTTTCTTGCAGCTCATTCAGCTGCTTTTCTCAGCTGGCCTCCATCTCTCAACTTTTGCTCGCAGCCCATTTAAAGCACTGTTTACTTTTTTTGGATGCTGCAGTTGGAATCCTTTCATTTTCAGCTCTTCCAGCTCCACAATTGCTTTTGACAGTTAGGATATTATGCTTTCTTGATTATTTTGACAGTTAGAATGCCAACTTTGGATCAAGAAAAAGAGAGAATAATGGAAGATAGAGTGAAAGATTAATTATGAGAGAAAATAGAGAGGGAGAGTAATGGTCTGTTTGTTTTGATGGAAAATGGGGTGGATGGAAAAACTTTCCATTGTTTGGTATAGAAAAAAAGAGTGATAGAAAGAAAAATTGGAAGGTTCCTTCCCGCCCACAATTTATTTTCCCACAAAAAATGCGCGGAAAATGAGAAGAAGCCAATAAAATTTGGCCTTTGAATGATAATTTTATTTTTTTGCCCTTTTTTCTTTTGCTAATAATTTTTTTACTAACACACAAGAAACATACAAAATGACTCCATATATTTAAAAGGTAGAATTGTAAAATTAGGTATGTATAATTTTCCTTTCCTTTCATTTTTCATCTAATACCAAACGATGAAAAATATATCCCTTTATTTTTCATCTTTCTTATTAAACGAAAAAGAGGAAAAAATAATTTTTTTTCCTTCATGGATGAAAAGTTTATTCCTTCCACTTTTTCTTCCTTCTTACTTTCCATTCTTGGTACTAAACGGACCATAAGAGACGAGTGAGAGAAAAGAAGGAGAGCCTATAGCTCAAACTTTATTGACCTAATTATTGGGAAACTACCGCTGCCGTTGCAATACATGAAAGAAAATTCAACCAAATGATACACAACAAATATACATGTTAGAGAAAAATAGTGAAGACGTGATAACTAGATACTTAATAGTAGCATGTTTGCTTGTGGAACTAAAGTTCGTAACATCATATCCCTCAAATTAATATATCTATTGAATATTAATATTATTTATCATACGATTAGCATGTTAGACGATTGAGTAATGTCATTGAAATTTAAAAAAATAATCTAATTTATTGATTTAATGATGTAACAGTAATGTGGTTCAATAGTGTTGTTGTGACGTTAACTTTTGAACTTCTTTATTGGGACTCTATCAATAGATTAGATCAATTTTTTAGGTTCTAATAACATTACTCTAAATTATTTCTGCTGATGCGTAAATTAGAGAATAGTGAGTAGCGAGAGCTTTGTGTGAAGTGTATGAATTGTGTGTGATTTTTGGTAGAAGCACCTTACCCACTTGTTTAAAATTATGAACATTACTACATTATAGTTATGTATCAAAGTGAAGTAATTGAAGTCATTAACGGAATTAAAAAATTATCATAATACTCTTGTTTTAAAATCGAACTTTGCGTCTGATTTATCCTTGACCATAAAACTAATGGAACATGACAACAAACCAACACAATTTAATCAAACATATCGAGTCTCTATTTCCCTCAACACAATTTAATCAATTTAAGCACAAAATAGTTTTCTCTTCGCGTTGATGAAATTTCAACACCAACAACAGAAAACAAATTCTTTATATATTGCTGAGGGGATGAGAGATAATTAATTAACAAGACAATTATAATATCTCAACATAAACAGTGGCAATAATAACTGGGGGGAGCATGGTTGAATGCCTTGCAGTGGCCTCCCTTGGAGCAATTAGCATGGCACATTTCATCGCATTTACCATCATCGGTCCCTGGAACACAAGTGCCAATGTGGTTGTCATAGCAGCATTTCACACTGTCTTCATCACTCGCTTCCTTCAAATCCGAATTTAAAAAAATAAAAAAGATGCAAATGTGCCATGCTTCAACTCCTACTTTAGTAGTAGTAGCAGCATAGTCAAGACCCACAAAAATATAGGTAATACCCGCGTTAGTGACTTTGAGATATCGTCTTTATTCTTTATAACACGGTGATTCTCAATATTTATCACATTTTTCAAATTTGAAAGACTAGTTTAACCAATTATACCTTTGTAAATTTGAAATAATTTTTTGCTCAATCATTAGTAATGAACGCAGAAAATCAAACCTTCTTGAGTAATGAAATCCACTGAATTTTTAGGTGTCATACTTTTATTTATCATATTTTTGGTCATTTTTAATATATTTGTGCCTATTTTTTTCACTGTTATGGTACCCAAAAAAATAGTAAAAATAGTTAGCACAACAGTGATAAAAACACCAACAAATGTGGTAAATTGCCCACAAAAATGAAAAAAAAATTATACCAAAAAAAAGTGATAAAAATAGTTATCACAAATATGGTAAAAACACCTATAACAGTGGTAAAAACACCTATATCCATGGGGTCACTTTGACAGTCTACTATGTTGTGTACCTTTTGAATGGAAGTCTTTAGAACGTTGTCCCAAATTTTAAATGAAAAGAAAAAGGCCTGGGAGGACGTTGCAAATGTCCAGGGATGGGCACGGCCCAGTGGAATACACTTCATTGCAACTGTTATACCATGTCAACATTATCACATAGTATATAGACAAATAAAAAAGTAAACTCTGCACAAGTCAATAACTACACGTCCATAAAAACAAAAAATTACTCACTCTTCTTTTATGTAAATCAATAACTACTCTAGTAAAATTTACTATACCCATTTGAAATTTTATTATTAATTATTAATTAATAATATCATATCATTAATATTGACATGATAAGCCCATTGTATTAAATATTCTCTCCTAGACCAGAGCATGTCATGGAAGAAGCCTGTCTTGCTCCGAGAGAATCATGGTAATAGATTAGGATGCTGTGAAATTCACATTTATTTGTAACTTCTGAGCATTATTAACCCGCATGAGTCGGAGAACACCCCTTCTTTTTACCTTCAAACAATCGTCTCAAATCTTTCTTCGTAATCTATCTACCTGTTTTTGCTAGAGGCCTTAACCTGCTAGCTTAATCCGAGCTTCGTCTCTCCTATAAAGCTTTCCCTTCATTCATTCCCAGAGTCAACTGGTTGAGACTTACATAAAGAGACTAAAACAAAAGAAATGCTTCCTTTAACTTTTTCATCACGATTACCGTCTTTTACAGATCAGAAAAGTGCAGTTGCGCTTGTTGGTGTCCAGCAAATATGACAATGACCATGTCATGAGAACGCCATCCTTGAAAATGAATGGTACTGCCGAGGATGATTATGCTGATGACTACAAAATACAAGGATTCATATACTAGCAGATCAGGAATGGCAAGACAAGAACATTCAACATAGGCAAAAAGACCATCACATTCAGCAACCCAGATAAACATGATGCAAAACACAACTATACCGACCATGAGAATGTGAGATCATGCATCTCCAGATTGGAGTTGTACTAACACAGCAAATAAAAATCCAAACTTGAGGAAATTTAAAATTATATCGTCAATGCAGTCTACTCTGTCAGTAACACGCAATAGTTCTCATTCTACTAAACATGCAAAAATTGAAGCAACAGTCTAGCACAAAAAGGAGGACGTAAACAGCAGTGTTCACTCATCATCATCTTCCTCATCCTCATCATCATTTCCTGCAGCAGAGTTGAGAGCATTTAACCTCTCGATCAGCCGAGCCTTCCTTTGCTCATAAGTCAGCTTCTTTAGGTTATGCCTGCAGCAGAGGATAAAGAAATACAGATAAAGACCATCATATCATGAACGTAAAATTCAAAACCATACAAAGTATATAGCCAATCAAAGCAACAAATAATGGGGAAGCATTTGGACAATCAGAAATCTTTGTTTTTTTCTTTTGCCCAAACGAACTTGGTTCCAATTAGCTAAATTTGAGGCCAGACGCTGCAAAAATGAAACTCGTGCATGTCATCTAAGTAAACACTATATTCGCAAGTGCACATTTAACTTCTTGGTTTGGAAAAGCACATCCAAGGGGGCAGCATTGTCAAAATCAATGAAGAAGTCTCAAACAATCCAACTAAACCATCCATGTTAAAACAGACAGTCTGAAAGAAGCATGAAAGCAGCACAACTCATCCAAAGAGCAGCCTTAGAACATACATTATGTTGTGACATCAATAATGTGTAAGGTTTAAGCATAACTAGCAAGCATTTTTTCTCAGTTTAACAATCCCACCCCACAAAACAAAACACACACACACAGCTGTTAACATATAGCTCATGAGGACAAGAAACATACTGAGATTACACCATATACTGGTGTGCATACTTGAACAAATAATAACAGTTTAGAATTTGGCCTTACCTCTTGTGCTCCTTTGGAGGCTTCTCAGACTTCTTTGGATTGGGGTCAGCTCTTATGGCTGCATGGACCTTCTGGTACATCTCCTCAAGGCCATCTGCCTCAAGACCCTTCTTAATGTACTGGCTAAAATGGGACTGGTATTTCTCAGGCTCATCTTCCATCAAAGTCTGTAGTCAAACAAAGAAAATTTAGCAAGTGCGAGCATGACAAAGAGTTTGTGTGCATGTTTCTTTTTTTCCCTATTTTTAATAGAAAGAAAGAGGGAAAGAAGGGGGGGGAGGGGGGGACCAATACAGGGAGATTTCACATATTATTTATAATCAACGAATATTTACAGTGTTCATCAACACTAGAATCCACACACAATTCAAGACTCACTCTCATGTATGCAGCAACATGGCCTCCATAGATGTACTTGTGATGGACCTCAGCATCAAGTTGCTTGCTCTCTTTGCCAAATCCAGCAAACCTCTTATCACTGTGAGGAATGTCAAGTCCACCATCCAATGCTCCCTTAAATCAAGAAGCAAATAGATGTTGACCTATGAAAATACTTTTAAAAACCAAAGTAGAAGAGTTCTTTATGGCCAGAAGAAAACAAGAGCAATAAATGCCTAAAGCTCATATCAGCGATGCATATTCTTCAACATCATGAAGTGATTACTTGACGGAATACCCCAACCTCCACCTGTCCACAAATTCATAAA